GCCCTGCTTCTCTCGTCTTATCTAGGCTAGTCTCCGTTGTTCTGGCTTTCCCCCCTTCCCTCTCGCCTCCTTACTCCTTTTTCAGTACCCCGCTATTTTTCTCGTTTCTTCTCTTTCGTTGTTTCTTCTTCCCCTTTCACCAAGTCTAACCGGCGGGTGGGTGGGTTGAGTTGGGGTTGGTTGTGGGTTTAGGGTTTGCTGATGCTTTCTTGTGTTTGGGAGGCGGAGGGTGGGACATGAGTGGTTGGGCTATGTGTAAGGTACCTACCTATCTTTGTAGGAGATCATTATTTGTGTTGTTGTTGTTGTTGTTGTTGTTCGTGAGGGATCATCCAGTTACAGTGATAGCCGACTTTGAGCAAGTTGCTGAAATGGATACAGAGGTCACAAGTCATGATGGTGGCAGTCAGGGAGCCTGGTGGATAACAGGGAGCCCTGCAGCCCCATCTCTCTCTGTATATAGAAACAGAGCCTCCCACCATCTGGAAGCTCTGATCAATGCAAGCAACCTCACAAACCATGCATAACCACGTTATTCAACACAAGTAATTTATTTATCTTGCTTACAAACTCAATTGCAACCCGGTTTTGCACCGGCCTTTTATTGCTCGATGGCATTTATTGTAAAGATGGCTTCAGGTGCTGGAGATACTTGTACATGCTCCAAGACGCCGGAATCAAGGCGAGAACACGGTATGGGAAACCCAACGTTAAAGCCTGCAAGAGAAACAAGAAAACCAAAAAACTCAAACCCAAAAAGCTCACCACCAAGCCCCATTCCCCGGTGGAATGGAGGTTGGTGGTTACGAAAACTCTTTTTCTTTAGAGTTTTCCGCCGCGAGAGGGAGTCGAACCGGTCCTCTTTCGATTGGTGTCCAACCGGTCCTCCTCCCAATACCGCTGAGCTAAACCAGTGTTTAGTTCAATTGGGAGGAGGCGGTGACGGTGTGAGCATTGCCCTGGTATATATGGTGCTGGAAGGTACGGAGTGAAGGGGTGTTTTGTTGACTTGAGATGAAACGCAACCGGAGCCCCTATCTGTTCTACGGACCCGACGCTCGGCCCGAACATCTCGCGCCACGGCATCTACAGGTACGCGACCTAATCACCCCCGTGGCTCTACTTATACATCACGCGGCTCGGTTTGTATTGGTTGGCTATAGACTATAGTTGGATTGCCCTGGTGTCTCCCTGTCCGGCCCTACTAGGGTACGCGTCAAAGTTTAAAGTTCGGTAACTAACACTTTGGAAGCTGGAATGCCGATTTAGTTTTTTGCGACATGCCCCGCAATTCTCCTTGTGCGTTGGTTGCTGGTTTCCCCGCCAAATGCAGCTGATGTGTGGCAAGATTCTCGTCCCTTGCAATTGTTTGTGTCCGTTTTCAACGCGGGCCTCCCTGCTGAGCACCTGCTGCATGTCTGCTGAATGGAGAGACAGGATAACCTTGCAAGGTTGGCTAAGGAGAATGCGGTCCTCTTGAAGGGAGTTCGCCTCAAGGATATCCCCGGTCGAGGCGCCGGAATGGTGGCACACCGCCGTCTCAAGGTACGACAGATGCACTCCTTCAATATCCTCCTTCTATCGACAGATCCAATCTAAAAGTGAGACTACAGCGAGGGCAAAAAATCCTACGAGTCCCCACACAATTGGTTCACAGCCTGCACACAGTCCCCGAGCGCATCTCCGGCAGGCTGCCACCTGATATGTCGATCCACGCCCTCCTTGCCGCCAATTTGACAGTCGACGGCATGGCAGGGTTGTCTACGTGGAAAGATTCCCTCCCTACGTTGGGCGACTTCAACACTGGTTTGCCATTTATGTGGCACAAGGAACTTCAGGAGCTTCTCCCGAAGCCCGCTCGAGAGCTCCTGAAAAAGCAGCAGGACAGCTTCCACCGGGATTGGAACAAGGTCGCCAAGGCCTTTCCGGACCTGCGTCAGGACGACTACCTACACAGCTGGTTTGTCATCAATACGAGAACCTTCTACTACGCTACTCCGCGGACGGAGAAGTACCCCCCAGTTGATAGGTTGGCCATAGTCCCCATAGCGGACTTCTTCAACCACGCTGACACCGGATGCGAAGTGACCTTTGACAAGGACGGCTTCATCGTTTCGGCAGACCGTGATTATCACGGTGATCAGGAGGTTTATATATCCTACGGCGCGCACACGAACGACTTCCTGTTGGCCGAGTATGGTTTTCTACCGGCGGCGAACCGGTGGGATGAAGTTTGCGTCGACGAGGTAATCCTGCCAAAACCAAGCACGGCTCATAAGGAGCTGCTCCAAGGCGAGGGGCTTCTCGGCCCGTTTATGTTGGATAGCGAAACCCTTGGATGCAAGAAAACGCAGGCCGCCGTTCGGCTCCTGTGCTGTGGTAGTCGGGGGCAATGGAAAGAGTCCTTGGATGGAGAAGGCTGTGGAGAGCATTGCCGAGGGGAGGCGTATACATTGCTAAGATCACTGCTCGTCGACTACTCGGCCATGGTCGGCAAGGCTGTACAAGATGTTGGGGGGCTGCAAGTCGGACAAGCCGCTCAGCGGGAACTGCTTGAGCAGAGGTGGAGGCAGGTTGATACAATCGTCACGCAGGCACTCAGTCATCTCCAGAGCCTTTCGGTCCTGTGAGACAATGAGAAGGCATGAATGCACCTGAGCCCCGTTTATCACCCCGGTAGGCGGTTCAAGTACTTCCCCTAATTCTTGATAACATGCGTCCGGACTAGAGATCGCCACCCAGCACGGTGTTGTTAACCAACACTTTAAACATTACACGCAACTCCCAAGTAGCAACAACAATCAACTCGATTAAAGGCTGACAAGAGACAAAAGGTTGGTACATGTACTACTAATAGTACCTAATCACTGGATACTGCAAAGAAATCTAGTCAAATTCAATCTCATCTATCAAAACATGCTCAAAAAAAACTAAACTTCTCAGCAATCTTCTCCGCCTTCTCCCTCTCCCTTCTCTCCACATCATCCTCCACCCGCGCACCCTGATGCCTCTCCACCATCCCCCCCTTCCCACCAGCCTTAGCCTCCTCCGCCGCCGCCGCACAAAACCGGTTCCCCACCTCCCACACCTCCTCCCCGAGCCCGTCCCCCTCCACGCCCCGCCCCTCGTACGCGCCCAGCACCACTCGCTCGGCCGGGTTCCACCGGCTCGTCAGCAGCCCCAGCCGCGTCTCCTGCCGCTGCCCGACCCGGTGGATCCGGTAGTACGCCTGCTGGTTCTCGCGCTTCGTCCACGCCGGGCCCGTCACCGTGCTGTACCGCGCCCGCTGCAGGTTGAGCCCCGTGCCGGCGAGCGCCACGGGTGTGACGAGTACGTTGGGCGGGAAGTTGCCCTCCGTCAGAAAGCTGTCGAGGACGCGCTGGCGTTCGGTTTGCGACAGGCTGCTGTGAAGGAGGATGGGTTTGAGGTGGCGGAAGGCGGGGTGGGTGCGTTTGAGGAGGAGGTAGCTTTGTAGGAGGACGGCTTCGGCTTCGAGGGGGGTGAAAATGCAGAGCTTTTTGGAGACGCTGGGGGCGCCGGGGATGGGGGATTTGTCGTTGAGCATGGTGGCGATGGTTTGGGTGAGGGTTTCGAGCTTGGGGCTGCCGGCGGACCAGGCGGGGATGAGCTCGTGGTAGGGGGTTTTGGTGACGTCGAATCTGGCCGCGGCGAGGTTGGCATGGATCTCAGCGATGTTGAAGTTGAACTCGGCGCTGCTGGGGGCGGCGATGCCCGGGAAAGTAGACGCGAGCCGGAGCTTGAGGAAGATGGCTTCGCCGGCTTTGCTGCGCAGGAACCGCGGGAGGGGGATGCCTTGCTTGGCGGCTGCTGCGGCGGCGAGGTCGCGAGTTCTGTTGGCGAGCGCTTGCATGTCATCCGTGAGATGGGAGGGGAGGTTGTGGTCGGTGATGTTGACCTTGAGCGGCCCGACGTCGGTCAGGTTGCGGCCCTGGAACTGGTCGGTGCCGAGACGGCGAAGCATCATGGGCTTCAGCACGCGGTCCAGCCGGTGACGGTAGTCAACAATATCGGGAGTGGGAACTGTCTCTCCATCGGCTTGGATTCTGGTCAGCTTGTTGAAGGTGTCAACCAGCGCGTCGAACGAAGCAACGGTGGCGCCGTTCAACCGATGGTTCTCATCCTTCCAGACCTCCTTCTCCAGGAATGAGATAGTTGGGTGGATATCGGCCGGGGTCTCACCAAAAGGAGTCCCCGAGACAAAGTATGTCAACGGGGTCGGCTGGTTCGAGTCGAGGCAGCACTTCTTGAGATGCTGAAGCCAGGCCTCGATCCGGCTCTCCTCACAGTCCTTGGCTATGGCATACTCGTGGAACTCGTCCATGAGGATCATACCGGGCAGCAGCCCGCTCATCTTGCCCACGCCCCCAGAGACTTTCATAGCGAAGTGGGTCATGAGTCGGGGGATGAACTCGGGTGAGACGATAATGATGTAGTCGCTCTGTCCTAGACCAGCCTGATACTTGCAATTGCCGTCTTCGCCTGGGGTGATGATGGGTCGCAGCTTTTGCACCTCGGCCGGAGTCAACTTATCCTCCTTGTCGCCGCCCTCGTGGAAGCCACGGATCTTAAACACCTTGGTATCCAGCTTCAACTTCGCATCCCTGACGGTAGACGCGCAGTTCCTGGCTGGCGCCACCAAGATATTCGGCCCGTCAGGCAACCGGTCCGCCAACTGCCTCGTCAGCTCCGAGTAGCAGTAGCATCGAAACCTGTACCGGTCATCGAACGGACAAAGCCTGGCACCCTCCTTGCCCGGAGGGTTATGCTGACCCACCGAACCCCCCTTCTGCTTCCCACCCGGCTTGGCCGCGGCCTTAGCACTCTTCCTCCACGCCGCCTGGACCTCATTCTTACACTTCCTCAACGAATGCGCAAACGCCATCAGGCCATACATCTCCTGCGTCTTGCCCAGGCCCTGCTCATCACACAACAACCCACCCGACACATCACCCAACACAAACGTCATCAGCTTCAACACCCCCATCAGCTGGTAGTCAAACAACCCCACCATGGTGCCCTGCAGCTTCTTCATCGGCACCCTCACGCGCCCGCCCTTGGACACGGCCGCGATCGACTCGCGCTTGCGCCACTCGGCCTCGTGCACCTTGAAATAGTCCAGGCACGCGCTCCACTCGGCCTCCGAGTTGCCCGCGTTGTAGCTGCCCACGTAGGCGTCGACCGTGGTGTCCAGGTCCACCGCCCCGTAGTCGGCGTCGGCCACGCTGGCCGTCTGGTACTCGGCCGCCGCGAGGTCGATCAGGTTGAGGTAGGTGGCCGTGGGGGTGGCTTTGGTTTCGGGGGCGGGGGGGGTCTGGGGAGGGATGGGTGGTGGTGGAGGAGGCTGTGGGGGTGGTTTTGGTGGAGGACGGGTTGGTGGTTTTGGTGGAAGAAACGGGGGTGGTGGTGGTGGTGGGAGTTGGTTTGGTACGTGGTGGACTGGCTGCCTTGGTTCCCCCGATGGTGCCGCGGCCACCGCGAGTGCCACCACGGGTGGTGGGGTGTATACCCCAGGCAGTAGTAGGGCGGGAGATGGGCAGGCCTCTTGTGGGTGGGTTGCCGCGAGTGGGGGCGGTGCCCCGGGTAGCGGCACCTCCTCTAGCCTTTTCTTTGCCCCTTGTTGCGACGGTGCTGACAGTCTTGCGGGGAACGATGGGCTTTTCAGACAAGGACCCGACTTTAGACTCCGGAAATGTAGGCGTGGTTGGCCCTTCTTGCTGGCTGTAGTTCGACTCGGAGTCTGAAGTCAGGGTGTCGTCGTCGGACATCTCACCGTCCACGCCCTCGTACACAAACCTATGCAAATCGGCGACCGCCCCTTGGTCAGTATGCTTATTGTGGGCCGCCGTGTCCTCCTCGTCGGATTCAATCTCATATTCCACAACCTCCATGACAGTCCGCCGAGAACTATCTGTGGGGGACCGGCTCCTGGACCAGGGGCCGCGGGATCGAACAACGACCCAGTCGTCGAAAATCCCTTCAAAGTCTTCCTGCGGCCAATTCCCTAACATCTTGGACGGCTGGTGGTTCTTTTGAGGCAAGATGTTAAAGTAGAGCTGGCCGTATTCCGATACCACGATATTGTTTTTCGTGATGTCGAGCAACAGAGTTAACCAAACGTGCTCGTCTGTCACCTCCAGCCTCCGTGTTTCTTTACTGTCCGAGCCGTATTGGCAAAAGACGACGACCTCGGTATGACAGTTAAAATTCAAGCGATATACGAGGAGATCCTCAAATTCGTCCCAGCTGTATACCTCGGGGTCATATGAACCGTCTTGCTTGATGGGCTCCCGAATGAAGTAGGTCAGTGGTTTAGACAAATGCTGGCTATCGTTCCCCCGCACAACACTGACACTCAGCGTGGTCAGCTTGTAGAATGGGGAGAGTTCGGTGTTGGTCATTTTGAACGCCAATCATTTGCAGACCAATGTGATAAGTAAGGTACCTACGAGTTGGGAGCGGTTTGGGGATGGGGAGATGTATGAAATTAGACAGCTCAAGTGATGCGGTAGCTGCTAATATTAATACAAATCGCCCGTCAGTGTACATTAAAGACAAAGCTATCCTATGTCCCGACAGTGCCATTGTGGGTGGTACAGCATTCGTTCTGATGGCAGTAAACCACTGAGACAAAGGAGTTGAGATGGGATCAATCAGTGGGGCTTTTTAGCTGTTCGGAATAGGTAAACACATCTTTCACAGTCCCGAAGCATGATTAGGAATTTAGTTGTGGTAATGATCGAGATGCAAGACATAAAGGGATGACAGGGCCCAGGATTTTCCCTCATCACACAACCAGTATGGAAAAGTACCTAAATCAAACGAACCATGGACAGAACCAACACACAGGAGGAAAATGCCTCGCAAGCCCTCGAGGTTAACCACCGGCCTTCACCCACGGCAAACCAAACGACTTACAAACCCAATCCCCAAACCCCAAACACCACACCCAAATGCTCACCCGTCCCCAGAGCCATCCACCGCCAACTCCCCAGAATACAAACCACCCCGCCCACCGCAACCCAACAAGTCGACTGGCTCGCCATCCAGCTCCACAATTTCTCCAGTCCATCCCCCACTGCCCAAGAAAGCCACCCACCTCCCACCACAACCCACCAACCCTTCCAACCCTTCCAACTCACCAACCTCGCCGGGCCCCAACCCACAACAGTGCGCGACGCTGTGCAGCTCAAGCTCGCCAAGCTGGGACCGTCGCGGCGAGGGCTCGAATGCACCGCCGAGCTGGACGTGCTGATGGACCGGCTGCGGTATGTGGTGCGGCCGGAGAGCGCGGAGGAGGCTAGGGTAGTGGGGCGACGAAGGGATCCGGCGGAGGTGAGTGCGTTTTGGGGGAAGGTGAGGGAGGGGGTGAGGGTGGCGGATGAGGAGGTGTGGAGGTCGAGGTGGGATGGGCTGCGGTGGGGTGTTAGTCCTTAGAGGGGGTGGGGGGGGTGAAGGGGGGTTGGTGTTGTTGTTAGCCCTTAGAAGTAGACATGATGGATGAGAATACAAATGAATGAGTTGGGTCAAACTGGGGGCCAGAAATGGGTATGTGTAGCAGGGGCTAGAATAAGTACATGTACCTACCTATGCTTTGTTCATTTCCCTCCACATGGTTTTCTTAAAACAAGAATCATGTCTTTCGCTTTGTAACGTCATGCTAGGACAAATGATGATGATGATAACCGGCTCTGGCCTAGACCTCGACATTCTACCCGGTGGGTCGTGATGCAGTTAGAACTTCCCTTGACAAGAATGGCCATGTCATTTACCAGTCCCGAAGTCACTTCTCCCCAGTTTTGCTCGCCTCATGTCCCTTCATCTCATCCTCCTTCAACTCATCTCCCTTGAAGTCATCTCCCTCCAACTCATCTTTCTCCGGCCCAAACACAAGCCCACGCTCCCAGTCCCAACCTTCCGGTTCGTCGGGATCGGGTATCCCATCCTTGGACTTCTCGATCCGTCTCCCGTCAACATAAAGTGACGGATAGAGACTATCCGTGAAGTAGGGCCGCGGGCCATTGTCAGACTGTTGTAAGCGCCGGTTATTGGTTCGCTACCGGGCTGTCCATTCTCTTGCTCCGGATAACATGACAGCTGTTTCCACGCTTGATGATCTCGTGGATCGGCCGTTGGGTGTTTTGGGAGAACTGGTTTCGAGCCTCTTCGTCACATTCGTGAATGAAGAGGTCGTAGCAGATGAAGGCGTACGGCCGGTGACTTAGCAATCGGACCACGTTATATTGTATGGCGAAATGGGTCAGTTCGTGCCCGGCTGCTTCAACCACGGCCCTAGTGATCTTTTCTGAGAGGTTTTGCGCCCATGGGATGATGTCCGAGGAGCGTCGAGACTCGAGCGTGCGCTTGGCACAGAGAAGAAACCGCACGCCGGTCTTAGCCTGCAGTGCTGCGCGGGTCTCTTTGTCGATGTGGTACTCCTTTTCTGGCATCTTGGATGAGTAAGACAGAGGAGAGACGGGACCCTGTACTTACTGGATGCGGGGGCTCCGGGCGGGGTAAAACGATGTGCAAAGTAGTACCATAATAGCGTTTTAATCATCTGGTCCCAAGGGTTAACTACCAAGTTATTAATTCATTCTAAAAGGGAAGTAAATGAACACGTCTAGAATCACCCCCTAAGAACGACGGATTCTAGACTTCGCTGCTCAAAAGGGCTAGCCCTCTTGCGCTCATACTACGACTCCAAGATTCGTTCCAGCAGCAAGGAGACGGTCATGGACAAACCTTTGTGATGGCGAGCGCCAACCAATGGGTGGTGCCTTCGGAGAAACTCCTTGAACTCCAATCTTTAGGCAAGGCCTTCCAACTTTGGCTGACCATTGATGAACTGTATCATGCTCATATTACACGAACCAAGCAACCACCTATCTCCTCTATCAACATCCACCTCGAGGAAGATAAAATAGAACCCAGCTCTGCTCCCCGGTTAGTAAGCGGCACTCATTCAACCACCACATGCCACAACTTCAAACTAATCCCTCACTTCCCCTTCCCAAAAATCCACGCCGCCCGGTCCCTCAAACCTTCACAAACCAGTCCGAGTCAAGGTCCGAGCTCGCCTCATCTACAACCACAACAACCCGCCCACCAACCCCACCACCACCCCCTGCACCCCCATCCCCATCACCCCCTTAACAGCAGCCGCATTATCCTCCGGCTCCCCCGTCCCCGTCGCCGTCGGCGCCGCCCCGGACACCGTACCGGAGATGGTAGTGCGGCTGGGGCTGACCGAGGAGGTGGTGCCGCTGCCGCTGCCGCTGCCGCTGTCGCTGCCGCCGGTCTCCTCCTCACACTCGACAAAGCCGTTGCGGGTGGGCGCGCCCGTGTGCGTCATGGCGCCCGCGTACACACAGCTGCCTTGGTAATCGGGGTTGAAGACAACGCGGTCGGCGCCGGGGGATCCTGGGGTGGGTGTTAGTGTCGTGTGTTTATTTTCTGTTTGATGTTTTTGTTTTATTTTTATTTTTTGTTTGTTTGGGGTGGGTATCTAAAAGGGAGGGGGTCACGCACTGCCGGAGTAGACATTCCCGTTGGAGAGGATGGGGAATTCCTGGTAGGGGCCCGAGGTGGAAAAGGTCAGGCCCTCGCGGTTGTTGAAGCGGTGAGGGTAGCGGCTGTTGCCCAGCTGCTCGCCGGCGGCGTGCAGGCGGCAGCCCTCGAAGACGGCATCCTCGATCTGGTCGCGCGTGTAGGTGGTCTTGCCGCAGGTGACACTCGTGATGTCGCTCGTGCCCTTGGCGCGGTTTGAGGGTTCGCATCCGCCGGTGGCCAGCCGAGGCATAGAGGGCCCAGGGCCCAGGGCGAAAATGAGGTTTGCGCATGGTGGGTGGTGACACGGGAGGAGGCTTGGGGGGGGGGGGGGGGGTGATTGACGTTTGTTGGCTTATTTTGGAAGCCTGGGGGATCGTGTGACCGGTCTTGAATGGTGTGACCGAAGTTGTGAAGGCGGGAAGATCAATCCGGGGGGTACAACGTCACCTCGATTCATCAATTCAGCATGAAAAGTAAAGAAAACAGCTCAAAGAAGCAACACCCCTAAATTACGCGTTTGCCAAGTCAGGGACCATTGCCGCCAAGCGAAGAGGCCCACTCGGATCGACACGCTCCAAGATTCGACCTTCATGCCGTCATCCCCGTGGCATGGCTCCATGGGTTGACCTCGTTCTATGAATAGAACCGAAATGAAGAGAGATCACATGTTTGGTACGGTGATCGCAGCACGTCAGGGTATCCTGTCATGCCTATGCAATTGTCGCTTTGAAAAATAAAAAGGAAAGTGGTTGGTAACCTTGCTGCACAACGTGAGCAAACTGTTGGTAAAAAATAAAAAGATCGGAGCTAAGGGAGGGTAATTTTTAGTCAAGGTAACAACCGGCCGGTCTTGCGAAAGGGAGTGAGGTGACCAGCAACTCTGGCACGTTGGCACGCTGGGCAACCCCACTGACGTCAACAGCGCCGAGACAGGCCGAGATCGATGCGACGTACCCCAAAGCCGCCCCCCCCTGTGCCTTCCGCCTTGTTTGCCCGCATACGGCTGCCTAACCCACGAAACGCAGTCCCGCGACCAAAACCACGTTACACATCCCCATCCCATCACACATGAGATTAACGAGAATCCCCAAGCCGTTTCACTTTGCCAAATTCTACAATTCATACCCGCCGCTAATCCAATTCAGCCGCCCAATCCTCCCTCACGAACCCCAGCAATCGGCCCGGCGCAGATTTCTAGTTAACATTGTTCATCACAACCGACACCGACACTGCAAAATGAGCACCAACACCACAACCCCAACCCCGGCCCCGGCCCAGCTCCTCGAACCCCTCATCACGGACCCCTCCACCACCACCACCACCTCCTCCTCCACCTCCCCCGACGGGACCGGGACTGCCGCAACAGCCGACGACGCGGTCCAAGCGGCCGTGCAGGGATTCAGCGACCAGCTCCGGGCCGCCGCCAAGCCACAAACCCAGACGACCCAGACGGGCCAGGGCCAGACCCAGACGCAAACGCAGCAGGCATCGATCGGCGATTTTGTGTGGAGGGCGTACAATGCGCTGTTCGATGCCGCCGAGCGCACCCCGCCCGCGCGGCAGGGCCCGCTGCTGGAGTTTGTGGCGCGGTTGAGGGAGACGGTGGTTACCGGGGAGGATGGGGAGGTCTTGAGGCATGAGGGGGGCGAGTTGTGGAGGGAGTTGCCGACCTTGGGGTGGGAGGTGAGGGATAGGTGGAATTTTGGTAGGTTTTGTCTTGTTTATTTGCTTATGGGACTGTGGTTGTGGTTGTGGTTGTGGTTGTGGTTGTGGTTGTTGTGTGTGTGTGTGTGTGTGTGTGTGTGTGTGTGTGCCTCGTTTCGAAACCGAGGGAGTGGATTGGACTGGACTGGCACTAATGGATTGTGCCGGTAACAGACTCATCCGACCCCGCGGCTACGGCAAAGCAACGCACCGAGTGGGAGAACCTAAACGCCTTTGTTGCGCAGCTCACGGCGCGCTCCTCCAGCGACCCGGACGGCCCGTTGGATTTCTCCATGTTCGGATTGTGGGTGATGCGGGATGCATTCGAAGCTGAGAACGGCGTTGGTTCCGACACCGCCGTCCGGCTGGCTGCCTTGTGGGTGAACTTCGCCGGTGCCTACCTCCGGAAGCTGTCGGTCAACGGCTATGAGTTCAGCGCGAGGATTGGGATCCCGAACGGCAAGTATGCCGGCCGCGAGTGGAAGGGGTTCAATGAGGAGAGGTGGAAGGCGTGGGGGGACGAGCTCAAGGTTGCGCAGGCCAAGCTTGCATCCGACGAGACGGTTCAGGGGGCGGCCAAGGTGATGGCGGAGTTATAGAAAGCTGGGAGTTGAAACTGGCTTTGATTAGGGAGATAAATGGTGCCTAGAGGTGCAATATATCGAGCTTGGTATATAGGTTAGGTTGAGCTGGTTTCCAGGTTGATTCTGTGACTGTAGTTTCGCCAATCTGAAAAAGGCGCAAACTCGAAATATCCATTTTTGTGCCGAACAAACTGTGGGATTGCTGCCACCAAACCTGAACCCAACCCGTTCTGAGGGATTCTGGGCCGCCGTCAGCGCCACATGGAACCAAAATCAAACCAACATGCCATCCGAAAATTGATTCCCGATAAATCGGGCGCTCCTCGTGGCACTATGTATGGGCGGAAACCAAACATGGGGGTAATTAAGGGTGGGGGGACGAAACGCCCCTCTTTTGGATCCGCCCCTGGCTTCGCTTCCGGAGAGCAGGCCGGTCGGTGGCACAAAGCGGATTCGATACGCACAGAAGCTGCACGCCCAAGACAGAAGACCGAGTGCTTGGCATTCCAATGTGGAATCTTGATTGGCCGCTTGGCGCCGACGCAGCACAGTGCCATGACCGGGAATGAAGGGGCAACTCTGTTCTGTGGGCGCGGAGGGGTGGTGGGCCGTGCCAATCTCGTAAATTGGACAAGCATCTGCCATTCTTTTGCCATTCTGCCCACACAGGAGCGCACCCACGGCACCCACGGTTTCCCCGACTTTCGCGCCGCACAAGCGTGTCACTTTCCACGCACCCACGGTCCACAAAACTGCATTCCTCTTCTGAGCCCACTTGCCCACTTGCCCGCACCACCCAGCTCAGCTGCTGCTGCACTTTCCGACATCCGTTCTTCGCCTAGCCAACAATCAGCCAGAACAGAACCTCTCCGTCAGCCGTCAGCCGTCAGCGTGCATGCCCCTCCACGAACCAGGATCCAGCGACCACCGACAGAGCCGCAGCTGAGTGCTAGTTAGCAGGGAGTGTCTATTACTAGGGGCGCCCAACAATGGTCCTGTCGCCGCTGCCGATCGGCGATCGCGTCCCAGCTCCCGTTCTTGCTCCACCACGCACCCGCAGCCCCGGCTCCGTGAGCGGATCCGCAAACCACCCCGTCGGACGGTAGTTGGTACTTGTAAGGTAGTTAACCTGAGTTAACCGTGCACGCCGCTGCCGCTGCTACTGCCGCTGCTCCTGCGACCTGCTCCGCCGCCCCCGCCCGCTGCCCGCCGCCCGCAGTCCCCATCTCGCATCCCGCCGCCCCCAGCGCCAAGCCTGAGAGTCGTCCGTCCCATGTCAGACCCGGGTACGCCAGACGGCGAGGCCAGGGCCCTTCTCGCCGTCGCCGAAAACCTGACCGGGCTGGTGCTCGACGACCACGACCCCCAAATCTTCATCAAGGAAGAGTCGACGAGCCCCGTCGCCGACGACGACCTCTTCATGATGAAGGCCTTGAAATCCCCCTCCACGAGTCCCCTCCAAAAGATGTCGGCTATCGCAGCGAGGAAGGCCAGCGTTGCCCAACAACGATCCAGCAGACCCGGCGGGAAAGGGGGCTCATCCAAGAATGGGCAGCTCAAGGCGCCCCCGGCAGCCGGCCAGCCCGTCGTACCGCGCAAGAACCAGGACTGGGAACCATGGAAGGGCATCCTCTACGAGCTCTACATCACACAGAACCGCATTCTTCGAGATATCATTGGCATCATGGAGACAAAACACAACGTCAGGGCAACGTCCAAGATGTACAAATCCCAACTGGAAAGCCGCCCTTTTCTTTGTTCTTTGCCACCCTCGGAGTTGTTCGGAACGGGACAGGTGGGAACAACAAGACTAACTCTGCTGAACAGGCGCGATGGGGCTTTTTCAAATACGCCATCAAGGGCCGCTCACGGGCCAAAGCTGAGTCGCCAAACGACCACAGCTCGGACGACTCCCTTGACAATGCTCTTGTCCTATCAAGAGACGAACTATTACACGCCGACAGCGGGTCACGCAGCATACAGTGCGGGCTAACAGCCGTCCGCCGTTTTATCCACGGGCACGTCGATCTGGACCCGTCCAACCTCCAGGTCGAAGAAGTCGCCGGTTTCGTCGACCCCTGCTACCGGTACTTCAAAGTCGCCATGGATCTCTTCGACCTCCAGGAGAACCTCGAGGGCGGTCGCGTGCTGCGCCTCGCCTTTCTACAGATCGAGCGCAAGATATCCAAACCCACCATGAAAACATTCTCAGACCTCTGCTTCCTCGTCCCGCACCTCCTCCTCGAGTCTAACCGCCGCGACATCCTCTCCGCATACCTCCACTACCTCTCCCGCCTCGCCATGGTCAAATTCGGCAAACACCCCGTGTCGGACCTCGCCGCCTCCTTCGCCGTACTAGTCGACGACCGCCCCGACGACATCATGCGCTACATCATGCTCCTTTCCCAGCTCAACTCGGACACCATCGCCTCCATGCCGGGCATGCTCGACCGCAACGCCGAGTGGGCCCGCAACCAGTACCTCGCTTGCCAGCGCACCAACAACGCCCAGGAGCCCTGGTCGTCGCCGTCCCCCACCGACGACGTCGTCAACAACCCGCGCGACCGCCACGACCACCACATGATCCGGCTCGAGGCCCAGAGCGTCTACTGGGCCCAGAAGCTCATAATGCACGACCCCACCAGCGACGAGATGGCCGCCCAGTGGCTGCGGCGGCAGTTCACCTCGGATTTCGGCCCCAAATGCGAGGCCTACCTTGCCCGCCTCAAGCAGATGGTCGCCACGGGCGGGTTCCCCGTCGTGTTTGCCCGCATGATGGAGTGCCTGTATGTCGGCTGGCTGTACGATTACTACGAGACCATGGGCGAGTGGGACCGCGCCTTCGAGTGGGGCCTGCGGGGGCTCGAGCTGTCGACCGACGAGCAGTATGCCATCTGGTCGATTCACTTGGAGGATCTGATGCGCCGCCATGGTAGGCCTGAGGAGGCGGAGGGGTTGACTAGGAGGAGGAGAGAGCATAGCTGGTTGGAGAGGGTGAGGCTGGAGGTGGATCGGTTGGCTATTGCTTGAGCTTGGGTGGCGCAGGATATGGGGGGTTGGAGAGGGGATGGGGGAGTGTCAAGAATATGGGGGGGTTGTGAAGGCGGAGTGCCAAGAGCATGGAGGAGCGTTAAGACCGTGTTGCTTGAGTATCAAGAATATGGGGGACTGTCAAGGCCAATATTATACTGGGGATCTTTGTAAGCACATCACACATCGCGCCGGGACGGATGGGTTCAAGTGGATTGGATCACTTACAACATGGGTGGATTTATATCTGGAAATGGGACGGATGGTAGGATGGATGGGGGGCTTTTGGATCCCGAACTTGTATCTGGTTGGGTAGGACGGTGTATATACGTTTGGGGCCACCCAACTCTGGGCTCTGGGCTGAAACTTGGAAACCTGTGTTACTATGTACGTGAACAGGCAGGCAAGCAGGCAGGCAGGTAGGTAGGTGTATATTATCGAACGTTGCTCCCAGTTTTGCTCTTTTGGTTATGGGTCAAATGCAAATCTTACTGGGTATATGATGACGTACGGAAGGTAGTTATAGGTTTTGGCTGTGGTGTGAATTATGTCGTCCCGGGCACAGAGAATAAGAAGGCGGCGGTCTCGAAAGTATCAAGAACAATAACTATAAGCAACGACGAACAAGGGTTTTTATAATCCAGCATCTTATCTAACTTGTGCTCAGACAGACTCGCAAACCGGTAGCCGGCTTGACACCGCGATGTGTACGGGTACACATTTAAAAGTGTGGACAGGCGGCCGCGCTACGCTTGATCAACTGGAAGTTCCGCGCCTTGGTTCCTATCCCCCACGAACGACAACATGCTACCCCTCACATTGAGCCAACTCCTCGACGACTGGGAATTCGATAAGTATGAGAGCACCCCTAAAAAGGCCCGCTTCGCATTGGAGTCGCACTTTGACAACATGCTCGCCTTCGACGACGAGGGCGATCTTTGGATAGATGTGGGCGGCGGAGAAGCTAAGGCTGGCGACGGCGGCCGTCAGAGGCCCGGGCTATATCGCTTCCGGGTCTGCTCCCAAACTCTGCGGCGGAAGTCTCAGGGCTGGGACGACGTGCTCTCTGAGTCATATCGGAAACGGAAGGCCGAGCCCGATGACGGCAGCAAACAGGAAGAATTGGTCGTGGTGCTGCCCGACCACCAGCCAGGGGCGGTCGCTGTATTGCTTGCTGTCATCCATAACCGGCTGGACATGATGCCCCCGTCGCAAAACCGCATCCATAGCCACTACGAGGCCATCTCGGCCATCCCCTCCGTGTCCGACGACTATGACGTGGTGCACCTGTTCTCGCCGTTTGTCTCGGCCTGGGTCCAGTGCGGCCGACTGCCTCACTACACTCGCGGCATGACGTACGACTACACCACCATAGTCCACCGCCTGAACATTGCCTGGCAGACGGGGGCCGTAGATTTGCTGAAGGATGCCATCAATCATTTTTTATTTAGGATGACCAAAGTGGAGCTAGACAAGTTGTGGGATGCTGCGAACAACACTCCCACTATTGCGATCTTTCCGACGTTGTTGATGTTCGTCGAAGACCTCGCGGCGGTTCGGCAGAAGTTGATCCAGTCGGCCCTGCGCTTTTACGAGCAGGTGACAGATGGCCTCCGCAAGAACTCCACGACGGGCTGCAAAAAGGCTATGTTTGGGGCAGTTGACAGGGCTGCCGTCTAAGCAAGGACAGTGGCAGTGCCGGTGCTACAAGAGCTCCATAGCAAGGAGCGTGACGAATGCAACAAGTCGCTGCTCGAGCAAATGTCCAAGAATTTGTACAAGAGGGAACTTATGATCCCGTGGAAGTGGCAGGCGGCCAGGGACGTTGATATAGACCTTGACGAATTACTCGAGAGAGTCGCCATCGTCTTGGGCGTTGGTGTGTTCTCTAATCCGGGCCGGATCATAGTCGCCGGGCACGAGGAGTGCATCCTGGCCCTCGAGAACCGGTTCCGGAATTTTAGAGCCGAGCTGGAGGAGCAATGTTGGAGATATCCATGTTTGGAGCTGGAGCACATTGCTTGGTGATTCAAGGAACGGGGCGATATCTTAGGGACAGACGCGAGACAGTTGCTTATATAAGGTACCAGACGGCATAAAAGCCCTGTGATCGTACCCCGGAGAGTTCTTGGTCCCCGTCCGACTCTCTGGGCAGTGGTCTGCTGGCCTGTCGAGTTGGGGAAAAGGAAAGTGTAGAATGCATGCAATAGGTAGTCGGAGCGGTTGCCAACCACTGGTCGGCCCAGTTCAATGTTAGCAATTTTGTCGTATTTGTTTGGTGGTCTCCTGAGAAAAAGTAGTGGCAACATACCGTGGCATGTACTCCAGGGCCTGGACATAGGTAGGTATTGAAATGTACCTAGGTACCTAGGTAGGGGTATGTACCTATGTCTGCAAGCTTCCGACCGTAGCCACAAGGTTTGTGGCACAAACGGAGCGCAACTTGAAAAAACGAGTTGAATGAACTGACACTGGAGTCACACAACAAAGAACTTGAACCCACATAACCATCACGTTTGGATGACATACGACGTTTGCTCCAAGCAACCAAACTCAAAGGTTAGGTATCTTTCTCCGCGGGGATAAATAACACACTCCTCCCCGATTTGACGGCAAACCAGAAACTATTTGGTGCCTTACATGTAACCACATCAGGCCACCGGCACTTCAGTTCATCGCCGCCCCCTTCAGTCTTTGCTCCCAGTGCCTACAAATCATAGGTACTTAGTGATACACTTCCATCTTTAAGGCACCGCCAACCAACCCACAATGCCTCCCAAAGCCTTCGACATGACCACGCTCGACGAGGTCCTCGCCGCCTACGGCGCAGTAGCCTCCACGGCCACCCGAGCAACCTCCACCACCGAAGCGCCACCCATGGAAGACATGGAGTCTGTCGTCCTCGACAAACAAGGCCGCCTTTTCATTGACGTGGTCGGGGCCGACCGCGAGGCACCACACCACAAACGGACGTACCGCCACAGGGTCTCGTTGGAAGCCATGGCGCGGGCTTCGCCCAAATGGAAGGAAACAATATTCGGGCCTGAGGGGCAGCGGCAGCAACCCACCGACGAAGAAAAATGGATCATCCAACTGCCTGACGACGAGCCCCTCCCCATCACCATCCTGCTCGCCTTGATCCACGAGCAGCCAAAGTGGGTGCCGAGATGGCACGACGACACGGATGATACAGACTTGGATACCGACACGGATACAGACACCGAGACAGACACGGCCGGTGTTTGCACGCAGATCGCCAAGACGGTCGCCACGGCCGACAAATACGGCGTCCTGCCGCTTCTCCGGCCCTTCGTCCGCGACTGGCTGGCCCACGCCCGCCCGCGCTTCAAAGCCCACACCCAGGGCGACGGCCGTGTCCTCAAGAGCCTGGACCCCAATGCCGTTCACCGGCTGGAAGTGGCCTGGCAGCTGGGCGCCGTGAAGTTGGTGAAGGAACATATCAGCAGAATCGCCTTGGCCTCGGGCTCGAAGCTGGACGTTCTGGGCCAGCTGCCCACCGAGGCGAATGACGCCGTTGGCATCTTGGCGTCGTTTCCGGAACTGCGCAGCGTAGTTGCGAAGTGTCGGAGCGCGGCGGTCGAGCAAATCCTAGCTTTTTTTCATGGGCTCTTCGCCGATCTCCGCGGCGAGAAGGGGAACTGCAAAGTGGATGAAGATGAAACCGATCTGGTCTTTGAGGAGGCTGAGGAGCGCGCGGCCTGCGACATGTGGATACTCGAGTATATCTCGAAGCGTAGGGAGGCGCTGGAGAAGCTCATCGGGGAGATCCCGGAGGAGGCCAAGAATTACCATGGGAGCACCCACCGCTTGCTAAACACCATCGGGCATGTCCTTGGCGTGCGTTGCGCCGGGGGGCCCAAGCGAATCCCGTGGCACGAGTGCGTCGAGACTCTCTACGAGGACTACGAGGACCTTGCAGAGGAGTTGATTCTCCGCTGGAAGGGATCGGAATCTGTCTTGGAGCCGAACAAACTTGAGTGGCTCGAGAGGCGCCGCGATATTCTGGCGGCGGATGGTTGCTCTTCTTGAGTGGGATTTTGCGGCGGGCTATGTTGACTAGGTACCTACCTAACGTGACTCGACCCGTCGTCTTGAATATATCCCCAGTTGGAGGAGGACTTGGACTAGCCAGGTATCCGGGGTAATGAGGATCATGCTCCATTGTACGATACCCAGGTAGGTAGTTTACGATCACTACCAGTAAGTAGTGTGAGTGGATGTTGGCCTCGTTATTCACTTAATGAGGACAGTCCCGCCGTATTTTAGTAATAGCACAAAAGGATCCCAAAACACAGTATTATATTTCTCAAACAACGTAGGGCTGAATGCTTGGTCATTGTGCAAAACTGTAAATTCGGGAGGCATTATAGGCATATATCTTGGTTTTCGAGAAAACATCTGGGGCAATGAGGCAGGGAAGACAAGGCTTACTTCAATGTCTCAAACGCGGCGGCGATCTCTTGTAACTAGTAGTTATCATTAGTTGGTACTAAGTTCTCTACTCTCAACCTCTTCGACTTCCTCAATCTAGCCTTGAAGTCAACCCCCTCTTTATCAAGCTACGGCGACGCCAAGACTAGGTACCTATCTCGAGATAATTTAAAATAGCCCGATGCGCGTGGAGCAAGCACACGAGCATAGAAATCACCCAGGAGCCACGGCGGACGGGCTTCGAACCGTCAATCTCGCCCCAGATCGCTATTACCGCGGCTACGCCACGGCGCGATCTTGGGGGCTTAATTGACTGGTTCTTCGCTCGGTAACTAAGGTCTTTTCGCACCAATGGTGATGGTAACGCTTTCTTGGTGTTTTGAATAGCGATGGCTGGGAGTGGTGGCAATGGCTGAGTTGGGTGGGAGCGATGGCCGAATTCACTGGGAGGTGAGAGGTGGCAGCTGTCGCCAGGTGGCGCGATGCACAATTGCAGTGGGACAAAGAGGCACAGGCAGCTGGCAGTATTTCAGCCGGCGTTTTGCCGTCGGAACTAAGAAATTTAACTCGGGTGATACACCGAATGCCGCCATCTCCCATGAAGCCCGCTGAGCTCAGAAAGCTCAAAACCGACGAGTTTCCGAAAAGTGTTTGCTTTTATGCGGTGAGAGATGGCAGAACACGGAGCAAGTGTTCCGGGCGGTCGCTGGGAGCTGTAGGCGATTGACTGGCAGTACCGGTGCTGTCGCTATGGCGCTGAGACGACGTTGGGGGTGTCAGGTTGAAATATGGCCGCTGGGGCGACCTGTGCAAACACTATTTGATGAGGCTATTTAGAGATGGGTTGGGGGGTGACTCGCACGTCAGGCGGGCAACGGGACTCTCTCCGCATCACGCCGCCGTAGATCCTGCTCCCTTGCTTCAAACGATTCCCGGCTTCTCTGCCTCAAAGCGCTTAAGTCAAAGGGGACGTCAAAGATGACGCCTTGGAGCGTCTTGACCCGCGAAACAGCCACATACGAAAGCCCCGGCTGGAAGTCCCGCTCCGAGATATCCACAACCGCCTTCTCTACGGTCATCCCCTGCGACTTGTGGACGGTGATGGCGTAGGCGATGGTCAAAGGAAACTGCTTGCGGGTGCAGACAATGCGGCCTTTGGGGAATTCGCGTAGTGATTGAAATATGGGGACGACGTTGGCGTAGTTCACCCCCTGAGGCGCCCCCTCAACAGAGAAGCCAGCGGGACACATCGGCGGGCCCTCGTAGCTGTCAAACTCAACGGCGACGATGTTGGGGGCTTCTTGTCTCCAGTCTACGCCTGCTGCCCAGGCAATATCGCGGACGGTCCCCAATGCTCCGTTGACGAGGCCCGCGGGCGTCCAGATATTCTCCGTCAACATCACCCTCGCACCAATGCAAAGGGGAAGCTTGTAGTGGAGATTCCCAGCATCGGAGGCGGGCACTGTCTCGGCTCCCAGCCCTGTGTGCTTGGCGACGACTTGGCGGCAAGGCTGCTGGAGGGCGACCATGTGGTCGAGGTTGTAGTTGGTGACTTGCTGATTCGTAGGGAAGATGCGAATAGCCTCATCGAAAAGCGCGACCTCCTCTGCCGTCAGGTTGGACCGTACACGGGTACAAAGCAACTCCTAGTGCTCTACCGTTGGCTGGTTGTTTCTGAGGCCTTCTAGGGCGGCCCGAAAAGCCTCCTGATCCGCACCTCGCTGACGCTGGGCGACGGTGAGTTCAATGGTCTGATTCAGCGCCTGGTAAGCATTGCGGCCGGTAATCTCTAGCGGCTCAACTAGCTGAGCCGGGGAGTACAGTGGCTTGCCCCTGACGGGGGGGAGCTGATAGAAGTCGCCCATCAGCAGAATACTGACCCCCCCGAATGGCTCATTGCTGCGGGGGAAGATCTGACGCAGGCGGTTATCGATGAAGCCCATCGTCTTCAGCGAGATCATAGATTTCTCGTCAATGACGAGATATTTGAGCGACTGGAGGCGAGCTTGCGCGGCAGCCACGTCTGGAGGGCTCAGTGGCTCGAAGGCGACGATACCGACGGGGAGGCGGAGCAGTGAGTGAAGCGTGGTCCCCTGGATCCCGTTGGCAGCTACGCCCGTTGGTGCTGACCGAATGACGATATTCTCAGCATCAGGGCGCGCTTGCTGCACCGCCCGCTTGTACAGATGAGCGGATATTAGCTTGATAGCGTAAGACTTGCCTGAGCCGCCTCTGCCGTCAATATTGAGCCTGAGCGGTGGAGGGTGCAAACCATCAACAGTCTGCTGGTCGTGGGTCATCACCATGTCGTAGATGAGGCGCTGGTGGGGGCTCAAGGTGTCCTCCGCACCGTCAGGGAAGTCACCGACGTCAAAGCCAAGGGGATGGGCGAGCTTGGTCTCCTTCCAAAGCTGGTTGCTGAGCCAGTATGGGCGGGTGCCAACGTGGCTGCCCCAATCTTTTGTAAGATCCTGCGGACGGTTGCCCAGGAGTTCGATATCCTCCGTCTCCGGACCCCGTCGCGGGAGCTCACGCGCCAACTCGTCCCAGGGGATGGGATTGGCCGCGTCTGGTGGCTCCTCGTCCTCATCTGACGCCTCCTGAAACTCCTCTTCGTGACCGTCAGCCATGACGCCGTAATAGTCGTCTTCGTGGCTGTGGTTCTCCAAGCAGTAGCGGTAGGCGGCAGAGTAGCTAGCAAACGGGACACCATCTACAATCTTGAGCTCGTCGTGGTGACGGTGGGGGTGGTGCAACGTCAGCTTCATACGGCAAAAGTCGTCTCTTTGAGTTTCTTGCTTGTATTTGGGAAAGTACCGCAGCACCCGGTCTTTTGCTGGTGCTTGCCAGTGCCGCCATGGCTTCTTGGAGAAGTTCACCTTCGTCAGGAATTGGAAGTAGCTGATCCCACCCCAATCCTCGGTGTCCTCTCGGCCCAGATATTTAGTGTAAATGGAGAGCGTCTCCTGGACCGTCTCGTCATGGATGATGTACTGACGTTGCGCCTCAGGGCTTCGGCAGTCCACCTTGAGAATCTGACGGCTGCAGTGGACGAGTTGAAGCTCAAGGAGATGGTGAGCGATCTCCTGGGCTGGGTAATCTCGCTCCGCGGCTATCTTATTCATCATCTTGCTGACGAAAGAAAGCATAGGCGTGCGATGAGAGACGTGTGGGAGAATCTTGCTGGCCATCTCTCTGTATGAGACCGTCGCCTCTTCGCCCTTGGCAGCGTATTTGGCGACGTAGTTGACGACAGCAGAGAGAGACGTGCAGGGAGAGAAATCGATGTTTGCCAGCCACGCGATGATGACGGCCGGGTTGAAGCTGTTGAGAATAGCGTCATTGCGGGCACCGTCGTACATCTAGTAGTTTGGGTTGAGCGCTTTCGTGACGATGGCTTCTTGGTGCTCCGGCCGTGGGAAATAGAAGCGGCAGGCGAGCTCACTCTGAGGCGCTGGTGCTGGAGACGCATCCAGGGGTTGCCGGGGAGTCTTCTTCTTCCGTAAGCAGTATGAGGTGTTGCAGTGGTGACGCTGGACGCGGTTGACAACCTTGGACAGCTGAGCGAAGCTTAGCTCACTGTCAACAGTGGGAATGGCGCGTAGCGGGTTGCTTTCGCCCGGCGGCATCTGCCGCCCAGCCTCCGGGTTGACGGCGTGGACGTGAATGCCCCAAAACTCAGCGAACTGCTGGCGGGCTGCCTCTGAAGTCACCTCAGGGAGCGGTGCTTCAAGGAACCAGTATAGGCCATGGCTGTGGGGACTGCCACGGCCCTGCCACTCGTACCGTTGCCATAGTTCAGTGAGATTGAACTTCTGCTTCATGACGAGCGTGGTGAACAGTTGCAGGCGGCGGTGAAAGTGGTAGGCTGCGATATGGGGATTATCGCGCAAATTGGCGACAGAGATGCGCATCCGCTGGAGCTCTTCAGCAGCCAGCCACTCCTCAAAGCGCGGCATGTGTTGATGAAGGCTTTGCCAGTGGTTATCTGCAGCACTGAAAGTAATGAAAGCACTGGGGCATTTGAGCGCGAAGGCCATGGCGAGCAGCTCCTGAAGCTTGACACCCCAGTAAGCTTTGGTGCCGCGGATACTGCCCGTCCATCGCACGATGGAGTCAAGAAGCCGTTTGCCGTCAGGGGTCTCATTGCGGAGCGCCTCCTTCAAAGTGTCGATATTGACTGGCTCGGGGTTGAGCTGCTCATGACGCTTCACGAAAAACGCGCTTCTGGCGCTGATCTGACGCCTCATCCGAGTATTGAAGGCGACGAAGCGAAATCGGGGGTGGCGCGCGAAGCGCCCGTCGCGCCATTTCAGTGCATGCTGTAGATAGTCGCCATATTCGATACTGCGCTGCCGCGGGAGCACAAATTCAGCTTTTCCTTCCGGGTAAAGTGAGGGGAAGGCAAGAGAGAGAAGAGCTTGGGAGCGATTGAATTCGCTGAGGGGAGTGCTGCGAATCTCGGGGACGACGATATGGTCCTGAGCTGGTGGTGCTTCATCTGGAGGTGGAGATTGCCGCCGGGGTTGAAATTCCATGGGATTGTGGACATGAGGCTCACCAGCAAGCTCAGCGCGCAACATATCAAGTTCTCGCTCGCTGACGACCATATTCGGTACAGCAGCCGCCTCCTGGTCATCAAAGTCAACATCTTCAACAGCATCCTCGAGGCTGACAGCAGCATCCTCAACTTCATGGATGGGAAGCTGGTCCATGAGATCGCCGCGCTCCGGGAGGGCTTGCAAGGCAGCTTGGTCCACCTCAATATCTCGATAGCCGGGGTGGTGGGCGCGCAAGAAAAGCAGCCACGCGGTGACGACCTTGCGGCGCACAACAAATTGACGACGGAACTGGCGCTGGAGATGCGGGTGGTTTGCGGTGTTGGCAGGCCGTAAGATGATAACGTCAAGATCCCGCGCAAGGCATGGTAGCTGGCCATAGACCTTGCCCACGTCCCGCAAGAAATGCACGACGTGACCGCGATACTTGTATTGCGCACCGCGCACCGTCAGGACCTGAATATGGACATGGACGCGCGCGATAAGCATTTCCTCAACCGGGGTGAGCTCACCTAGTCTTGCCAGCTGAGGAGGGACGTCTCCGAAGTCAAGATTGTTGGCGGCTGAGTAGAAATAGGGAAGGGGAGGCTGGTCGGCTTGCTCACGGAGGTAGGGGAAGTCGCGACGCTGGCACGTGTGGCAGACAGCAACACCATTAAAGTCCCGTAGCTTCATGTCAAACCAGCGGTGCTGACACCGGCCGCAAAGCTCCATCTTGTCGTCCGTAAGCTGCTGGTGAAAGGATTTGATAAGCCGGGCATCCTCCGAAGTTACCGCAATTGTATCCAGCGGCGTCACCCCCGGCTCAAATGGAGGATCGGGTGCTGTGAGATCGCGAGCAGGTATAGGCCGCACTGAAAGCGGGCGTCCTCTCGCAGGGCGTGGAGGCAACTGGGAGGCGGGGATGAGGCTGGAGGGAAGCTGGCTTGAGGAGAAGTTGTTGGGGACGTCGTCACCGTCATATTGAGACGAGTGGACCGATGACCGGCCCGACGGCAAGAAGCTCCCACTAGAGTGACCCTGCCGCACCTCCGGTGTGACGAGCGGCGGGCCACCGGCTCCCGGTGTCGTGGGAGCGGGGCGCGATGAATCAAGCTGGGAGAGAGACGGTGACGAAGACGAAGAAGGCTTTGCCCGTAGCTGAGCTAGGGTAGGTGTGAGGCTAGTCTCAGCTCCGCCCCGTCGCTCAGCACGGTGCCGCCGTTGGATATCAGTTTGCTCTTTGCGAGCTTGTGCCGTTGGGGGACTGTCGCCTGAGTGCTGGCCACGGCGAAAGTAAGTTGCTGTAGTTGCTGCGGAGGTAATGCGACTGAAGACTCGATCTCGTCGCCGTAGCGGTGACGGTGACGGTGCCACTACAGGCGTAGGAGAGTGGGGAGACGTCGCTGCTATAGCTGCGGGATGGGCTGTAGCCCTCCTTTCGGACAGCTGCAACGGTAGACTTGCAAGCGGCGTGCCAAGCTCAACGCGAATTTCCTCTAGAGCCAAAGGCGTGACTGGGCGATGAGGAGCTTCTCGTGGCTGGCTGGGCGTAATTGCAGCTACTGCTTGGGACCGCTTGGGTGTCGCGGATGGCTGCTGGGAAAGCGACGAAGATTTGGGAGGGACGACTGCTTGAGAACTTGAGGGATTGGAGGATGGAGCAGCCGCAGCTTCGAGGCTTCGTCGTAGATAGTCCACGCGTGCAAGCTGGGAATAGCCTCATAGTTAGCTCAGTGGCGTGACGAAGTGGGAGTAAGGAACAACTTCTTGATGGCGCGTAGCGGCTTTGTCGTCACGGCAAATAGTACAGCTTCCAACCAACCCGCCCTTCTTACCGTAGAACATGCTAACAGGCCTTCGGGTATTGCATCTAAAGCAAATCATGGTGCTGGGGCCAGCAATGGTGTCGCCAGCCCCGTTGCCGCGGTTGCCACTATCGCCACTTCTACCGGGCGCGTCTGCAGCTCCCACGCCCGCCATCTGCTGGAAATGAGCTGAAAAGTTGCCAGAAGCTGGCGCAATTGACGAGCTATCGTTTCGTTGTGTAGATTTGCCGTATCTTAAGAATTGGGTTCTGCGCGATGATTCTGGGATGGCTGGTGCGATTGCCAATGGTAATGCGAATTGGTTGTTTTGATGGTGGGGAGCTTGTTTGGCGGGGCATGAAGCCGACGTCATTGCAAGATGGATGGATGGATGGAATTTATTTCGCCCGGAGGCACTGGGCCTATAGGGCCTTAGCACGCTAACTACATCCGGATCAAATCGTTTTGCCTTTAACTCGTACAAGCCCCCTACTTCTTCCCTCTTTCTCGCTGCACCATTTACCTCTTGCCTTGGTTGTTGTTAGCAGATCAGCTTGGAGGCTACTTTCTCCACGTCATTGCAAGCTTTGCGATATCACATGCGATGTCAAGTGTTGTATCACGTGCCGCCGGACCGGCGCTTTTGCATGCGGTCTGATTCGGGCCGCTCACCAAGTGCCGTCAGCCAATCGCCCCGTCGGGAAAGGTGGGTCTAGAAATTTCAGCCAATCAGAGCACAGGAATTAACTGTCTGAACCTGTATACTATACAGGTTAATATGGCGCGCGAGACATTCGAACACCTCGTACTCGAATGCAACGGAGCCGCAGATAAACCTCATCCCTGGCCAGACGACGGCGCAGAGCTACTGGAGTGGCTAGATGACGTGGAGAAGGCTGCCATAGTGGTGGGGTGGGTGCTTGGGCTGGGGAGGCTGAACGAGTTCCGGCTGGCGGTAGAGCTGGAAAATGAGAACAACGAAGAGGCCCGCGGCGGGGCCGAAGCGGAGTAGCAGAAGGGCATCGATGGAACAGAGGTTACGACTCATTTTATCTATTTCGTTACTTTGACCTCGGAAGGTGGGTGAGCCCTTTCGAGGAGATGGATCCACGGGGTAGCGGCAAGGCCGCAGCGGAAGGTGCGGAGGTTTTCATCCAGCTTAGGCATGGTTTTTCCTACCGAGTTAATCGCTGAGGGACCGCATGTACTTAGTACCTAGCGTGATAAGAGAAATAATAATAATATACAGGTTAATAGAACCCCCATCCGCCAAACCTACGCACAGCCACCTCCGCTCGCTAAGGCTCGCTACGGGGGCTGTTGCTCCGGTGTGGCTCCTGGGTGAATTAGGAGTTAGGGACCTAGCTAGGCACTAAACCTGTATGAGCGATGCACATTTACGCGAGGTAGCTAGGGTTTGGGTGTATAAGGTTAATAAGAAACTATGAGCTTTATGGAAGAAAAGGTTCAGCTAGAGACTAAATAGAAGAGGCTCAAGCCAACTGTGCCGGCCGCTGCCGGCACCACTCGAGCATCGCCTCGGCCTCTTCCCACCGGTCCTGCCTCTGGTACATTACCGCTAAGTGCCTCTGGTACATTACCGCTAAGTGTCCCGGTTTTCGATCACTTGGCGGGTGTCGGATCATCTTTCCGACTCCAGCTCGGCATCGCTGTTATATCCGATGTCGGGGAGAGCACACAGAGCCAGTCTCTCGAGATGGTAATTATCTCACGTGTTCCCACATCATCTTCATATCGCTGAATTTGGTGGGACAAGAGGGGCAGTCGCGGTCGGGTTTGGCGGATCCTCCCCCGGCGGACGCAATTAGCTCGGGCGGGTAGTCTTCCCACTTCTCCTCGGGATGTTCCTCTTTGAGGTGTTGCATGTACTCGGGCTGGGTCTTGAACTCGGCCTCGTGGCAGTAGCAGTGCCAAACCCAGCGGTGTTCGTTTTCGTGCCTGATCCACTCCTTCTTCACGCCGTAGAGACGTAAGGGGTCTGAACAGCCTTCGTACGTTCAATGGTAAGGCCGTAGGTCGTGGATCTGGTGTGCTCTGCAGAACGAATAATTAGCACCGGTCGTAAACGTGAAAGGGTGTGGATGTTCTTACCGCCAGTCATCTTGACTGCGATACTTCTCTGGACATCGAACGCTGCAGTAAGGGCAGAGAAAATGCTCGCTGCCGGCGAGATGGCTCGGTGGTGGATGCCAGGTCAAATCCTCGGATTTCGTCGGTGTCGGGTCCATTTTGGTCGCCGACGTGGCCATCGACTCCATGGGGGCGGTGTTAACGGGCAGCTCCGGAGCCGCTTCGGTCTCGTCGCGCCCCGGGATCTAGAAGTGTTTCTTCCAGTAGAGAAATTTGCTGCTTACGTCTGTTGTTGGCCTCGCCCACCCTGGTGATGAGCCAGTGGCTCGCCGAAGCGTACTGCGTGATCAGTTCCTCCGAGCCCAACCCTGATTCCTGGAGCTCCTTGTCCTTATCCCACATGTCCAAGAGCTGCTGCCGCTGGACGGAAGCAGCCCGAATGATCTCAATATTCTTCTTGTTGCGGATGTGCTCGGCACGTTGGTTTTGGGGAATGTGCTCGTAAAACTCCTCAAGTGGCCGTTGCAGCCTATTCTGTGGCTCTGCAAGTCGGTTTGCGAGAATATAGAGCGAGTCGAGGGTAGTGGTAATGCTGGAGAGTCTGGACTCAGCTTCTTGAAAGGAACCAATGCTGCTCACCGGCGATCCCAGCGAGCCCTCGTCGTCAGAAAATCTGATGTCATCTTCTTCCACTCCGCCCACCTGGAGTGCCCTCTCGTCTCTCTCGAGCGGCTGTCTCGTACCAAGGGCAATGTCCAACACTGGTCACGTTAGCCATTGAATTTCAAAATTCTGAAACGAATGTACTCACAGTTCTGGAGGTCATCTCGGATATCCTAAGCAGTTCGGCCAGGTAGGATTTAATATAAGACGAATCGCGAACTGTGTAATCGAGGGATGAGTGTCCCAACTGAAACAGGCCGAGCTCGCGCGCTCATAATCGAAACCTTTCCTTCTCATTCTCGATGCGACGTCTCGACGGCATGCCCGTGTCTCCATCGTTCGTGCACGGCGTTTCGATGAGGCTCTTGAAGGCGTCAGCCACGGTCTGGCCGAGGAGCCGAAGCTCTTCCAGTTGTTGCGCTGACTCCATCATTGGTACGGAACAGCTTAGCGTGTTTAACTGCGGATTAGTCGTATGTATTGGTCACTTGAGGTCGCGATTGTGAGGATCGATGGTCGTTCGGCTATAGTTAGGTTGGATCGACAATGCTCACGGGGGCATAGCACAGAGGTGATATGGGTACCTCTTAAGTACCCTGTGCGCTCAAAAAGGAATAGGGGTCTGGAGATGCCGATAAGGGAGGCTTTGAACGCAGAGTAACAGACTCTTTGTTAGGTACCTATATAAATATCTAGAGATGCATGCGGTAGAGCATTCTCCTCTCAAAGCTATACCACATGTGTCTTGAAAGGATCGCCGGTAAAACTAGGTATCTTAGACTATAATATTGTTCGCCCGTACAATGCAAGTTAACACAGTCTTTTGTTTGTTGCTATGCATATTCTATGTCGTTAATTACTGTCACATGGTATAGGGTGCCCCTGGCCTTTGCGGAGCAAGGACGTGTGACAATTCATGATGTGCCTGTTTGGGCATGTTGTTCAAGACGACCTCGCGGTACTGATTCCACTTGGTACCTAGGTTTTCCGGCCCCTCACCATGTACGGTCGGTTTCCAGCGGAAAGTTAGGTTCCCGAGAAAGATGTATGCAATGGTAACGAAATGGCTCGGCCGCTGCATGGAGCAATCTGCAGACCTTGCTGGGGCTTAGCAAGTCGGCTTGCTTCTCACGTCGCTCATGTCGGCCATGGTCGGGGTTTTCCGGCAAAGACGGCGTTGCGTAGTGCCAGTAGAGATGAGAACATATGGCAGAGAGGAGCTCGGGTGGAAGAGTTATCAGGGTCGCTCGGCCCATTTTTCGTGACAGCGTGAGAGTGGTGTCGGGAGCCACCCTCACAATGAATCTGTCAAAGGAATGGTAACAGCCCGGGCAACGAAAGTGGTGATAGCGTGTGTTAATATTACTGGGGTGTTGTCGTCGGTTGCGGTGGAAGAAGCCCCCCAGGAATACCTGGGCATGGGAAAGGTGCTGCAAAATCAGCCGAGAAAGCCACTTAGGTTGGGCCCCAATTGGCGCCGCGTAATACGTTACAATTTCTCAATGGACCTTTGCTCGTTGGAAGCGGCCCTTGGGAGCCCCAAATTGACAGGGATCCCTTGCCGGCTGCTCGCAGGGAAAGTTGCCACACAACCACCGAACTTGCGATGGGTCTTCGGGCGGGGTGGGGGGGGGGGCGGCCCGGACGGGGATACTAGCAGGAGAAGAAAAGAGAGAGCAAAACCCCAAGGCCTCAAGACCCAGTACGTACCTGGGTAGAGGTAGGTAGTTCTGTGTTTCGTTGTCACTCAAATCCTCCAACCGCCGCCACGAAGCTGCGAACGCGCTGTCGTAACCGAGATCCACTAGGCTCGGGACCTGCTGTTACAGGAAGGACGTAAAAGATGTGGTAGTCGAGGCAGGCTGTCGCCAGCGCGATGGCGGTGAGTTAGCGCCTGGTGGGAGCCAACGGAGGAATCAGAAAACGGCATGCTCGACCCCGACACACGAATTACAGATAGGTGCATGTAAGGTAGAGGTAATCAAGGCGGTAGAAAAGTATGTACGTGCAGGTATCTACCATACTTGAGACCTATTAGTTTATTGTCTGCCACTACTACCGTTACGATGAATCTACGGAGTGTACGGACTGTGGGACGAGGTCTGAGTGCTGTTGTTCAGCTGGGCTACGACGCTGCCTGCTGTGCCACACTCAAAAGTCCGAGTGTGGTCGCGTCAGTGGAAGAGAAAATAGCATCGGCAGTGGATAAATTAAAAAAGGCTGCTTGCCTGGGCACCAATGTCACATGTGCACAGCCACAGTCTCACCGTCAATCAATATCAATACATACATAGCCGCTTCAAGGCTGTTAGCCTTGAAGCGCCCCTCTCAAGGAGGTACCTCCTTTTTGTTTCACGCTTTTGTCACCATTTTCATAACGCTCGTCACTTAAGTGACATAGCCGCCCGCGTTCAGGCATGAAGTCGTCGACGCAAATCGAAATCCACCAGCTACCGTCGCCGTTGCCCCGGGATGCCGCGGAAATTGAAAGTGCTCGCCCGTCTGCTTCGCCCGGAGGCAAGCCAAAGCCAGCACGAATCCAATGGCAAAGGGTGGCAAAATGGACGCTGTTTTTCCCATGGCTAAGTCTGCTGTTCTACTCGTTTTTCCTCCTTAACCTATGGGCCGTGCCCTATTCCCATGGTGTAGGGCAGGACATAAACACGATGGAAATCCGGTTTTCCCCCTCCCGAGGCTGTCAGCCCGGTGGCAAGTTTAGTCCCTATTCTACGGCGTATTCACCGTGGACCTTAGCGGATATCTTTGAAGTAACCTTGGGTTTTGGGGCTATGTCATTTACCCAAGCCAAAGCGATTGATATTTCCTGGGATCTGGTAGGTATCGTCTTTCTCTCATCTCGACGCCTCGGGTATACGGGCCAAAACTAATCACACCTTCATTCTGTTACCAGCTGGTCGGAAGGGGCGGCCAGGGAGCCATTGCCTACGTATCATGGCGCGTCCTGGCCGACTTCATAGCCGCGTCGATGGAAAAGTCACGCCCCATCAGCTACCGAGTCTTTTGGGCAGTGTTTCTTCATCAAGAAGCATCTCTCACCGGCACGTACCGCCTAATGACCGACGCCAGCTTTTACCACGCACTGAGGTACAAGACTGTGGCCGTCTTCACGTGCTGTCGCTGTTCCTGACCATGGCTTTCCCCACGTTGGCGAGCGCCATGACCGGTTACGTAGCACGAACCGCCGCCTACGTCAAGGACGCTCCAGGCAGTGATGGAAATTACATATTATTCAACGAGTTTGATGTGGTGGCGTACGTGATCCATGACGCCTGGAGGATCAATAAGACCGGGGACCTTTTGGTCTCTTACGGCCCTACGAGCTGGGACCCGATAAGTCAAAGTTACCTACCTACTCTTGCTCCTAGAGCTTTGGCGAGCCAAGAATAAGGTACTGAACTAATGACTTGATTTATTCCGGGTGTAGCCGGTAAGGAGGCGCCACTACTGTCTGAGGACGGTGGCATTCCTTCAAACAAGTGCGGCGCCAACGTCTCATGGCCTGGGTGTGAGCTATTCGTCGACACCTCCCACTGTGAGTGACTTCCTATAGCATCCCATTCTTTGGGTCGATTTGCTGTCACAAATGACCTGGAATCTATTAAAATTCCATGAAGGGGGCTTATAGAATAATCTGAAGATGTTACAGAGTACGGATTCTACGGTCTGACCCAGGAACCATCTGTCTGGGCCGGAAAGACGCAGCTACGGGCTCCAGCCCTCAACATTACGGCCTTCTTTTTAGGGAACGAAGTCCACCCTACGATGGCGGGACGTGATTGGGTGCACCCCATCACCAAGGAGAAACCATTCTTGGACCCGGCCAAGGTGACATATATGGTATCCAACCGGACGTATAATCTCAGCTACGTACAACAATACGGTGCATGCCAACCCGACTCGGATGTGAGTAATGGACTCTGGATCCCCTGTACGGTGCCATTACACACTGAATTGATCCCCATATACCTAGGTCTACCAATGGGGCTTTTCGTACATTCAACTCTTCATTCTACTCGTCCTTCTCCTTGCCTGGACTCTCGGCATCTGGGCGATTTGGCTCAAGGCGCACATAAACCTACCCCTTGCCAGCAACAAACACGCCGGGGAAGTGCCAAGGGGTCGGATAGCACTTCTCCATCTAGCATTCGCGATGCAGAGGGATCTTTCCGTGGCCGGCATTGACCCCACGCCCATGACGGATGGTCAGCTTGGACGGGAGATACACCAACGCGTGAAGGGCGGCGGCATGGTCTGGCTGGCGTCTGCCGATGGGCTCGATACCGATCCGCTTGATGGCACCATCACCACCGCTATCACAGACACAAGAAAACCCGACGTCTTACTAGGCGGCTTCCTATGGCAGAAGACGAAAGAGCTGAAATGGGTCTTGCTGGCATTCATCTCATACTTTAGTGCCACCGTATACGGTGCCACATGTCTCTATGCATTGGCGTGGCCTCTTTTTGTCGTCTCATGGCTGTGCTGCTTCGGGCTGTATGGTTTCTTCTTCGCCGGGCGGATGAGATGGCTACTATGGGTATACGTGCCCTGCACCTGCATTTTGGGAACTGTGGTGACTTTCATGGCGAGACGGGCACTTTTTATGAAATCGTGGTGATGTTGTATTTCTGAAACAGTGGTTGGGGCAACCATATTAACCCATTAGGCCACTGCCATATGTGGTCGACGGCAAAGATTCCAATGAAACAAGTTTCCATGTTGATCGATTGCGACGGACGAGAGGATCTACGAGGCCCCTGATTTATCTATAGGAGAGGAGACCTCCTTGGCCTCTTCTGTTAAAAGCTTCCAATCAAAGTTCATACAGTGTTGGAATCTCCCTATTCCGTGTAGACAATTGGGAGGGAGTGAGCAGTAATTCTGCGCAGTGAGTGCTTGTGGAATCGACCTATCCTAGAACGAAATGTTTCACGACTTCCTTGACAGACAGCAGCACTGGAATGTTGTTGCCGTGGGATGACGTGGCTTGCCAAGTGCTGCCCTTGACAGCAAGAGCTGGTCCAAGCTATCAACAGTGCCGAGCATAAATAATAGCCACTTCTCGCCGGTTAGGTAGCCAGCATCCGGCCCAATGGCCCAACTCGGATTTTATTCACTTACCGAACGAAGGCTCCAGAATCCTGAGCTTTAGAGAGCAGCCATTTTATCGCGTACCGACCACTCTCGCAATGAAGACTTCCACTCTCGCCCTTCTCTTTGGCTTGCTCGCCTCTGCCGTCCACGCAGCGCCCCCCGCGTCTGGCGATGTCTCCTGGTACGACCCGGTCCGCGACGCCACCTGCACCGGGCACGCCGACGGTAGCATCAGCTGGCAGGCAGGCCAGTCGAGGCACTGTTGAAGGTACGTATCTAATGACATTCACTCCGATCCTCTCTCACGCCTCACCCTTGCTGGCGCTTCCAGCATCCCTTTCCCATAAATTCCCCCCATCCCATCTTTTCCCCCCAACAACTTGTTACCTTCCTTATTATCACCCCCATTCCTTTCCACACCCCACCCCGCAACTGCCTACCTACCTACCCAACCGAACCCACATGTGTAACCAAAACTAACCCGGTCCCTCCCCCAGCTCGACCCCAAAGCCCCCACCCCCCAACAACCCGCAACGCACAAACCCCTCACCCTCGACATCCAGCCCACGCTAGTTGAGACCCGCGCCGACGGATGTGACGAACTACTTCAGGACCCTGTCCTGTTAGGGTTCAGCTTCGGTTGAAGGTAATCTCTCAAGGGTGCTTAGGTTCGGTGCAGCCAAAGGGTGCACAACAAAGACTTGTCTCAACAGTAGGCTTCCGAGCTTGTAACGAACTGTAGTTGTGATTGCTAACTGGAGAACTCCCAGAGCTCTCCAGTACGAGTGACTATATACCATCTAGTATCACCACGGATGGATGGAATTTATTTCGCCCGGAGGCACTGGGCCTATAGGGCCTTAGCACGCTAACTACATCCGGATCAAATCGGTTTGCCTTTAACTCGTACAAGCCCCCTACTTCTTCCCTCTTTCTCGCTGCACCATTTACCTCTTGCCTTGGTTGTTGTTAGCAGATCAACTTGGAGGCTACTTTCTCCAAGTGTTCAGCGTCCTATCTTCAGCAGCTAAAGCGGGACCTGCTGGTTAAGGCTCGTGGTTGAGGCTCGTGGTGTTGAGTGTCGGCTTCTTCTACTGTGACTGGTCTAGACTCTCCTCTTCATTCAGCTCCAGCCTTCCTGTTGCCATTGCGTATTTGATCGTCGCCCGGACTGCCTTCATATCTGGTGACCAATGCCTTGTATCTGATGGCGCTTTCCCTCCCAGATAGAACGAGAGGCTTCCTCGTCTTGCCACTGTGCATTGCAGCATGTCTTCCCTCAGAGCTGTCCATCTCACGCATCGGAAAAGAAAGTGTTCCACTGATTCCCTCGCTTGTCCACAGGCACAAAGGTCTGACTCGACCGCCCCAATCCTGCTCAAAAAACCGTTTAGTCTCGCCATTCCGGTTCGGAGCTGCGCCAATACGCAGGCCTCCCTTCGCTTCAGCTTGTCATAGAGATGGCGCGTGTGCTTGCCTGGTAGTGCTGCGTCCATGGCCTTTGAGAACTTGCCCACGCTTACAGGTAGAACTCTTGTCGCCCGTTGTCTTTCCATTGCCAGCCTCATCGCGGTAGACTTGGCCTGGGGTATTTGGGAGTCGGGTGTGCGTCCTTGCTTCGACGCTCTCTGGGCTGCTGCCTTGGCATCTGACCCCAGCGCGAAGTCAATCTCCGCTGGTATCCACAGAAAGTTGACCGAGTTCCCTCTTTGTCGGTGCAGCCTGGCCAAGTCGTAGATTTGCCGTATGATGCTTTGGCCGGATTGCTGCCGCGGCTGTCCAACTGCTGCCAGCGCTGACTGGTTCCTAGTGATCACGGTGATGTGCCTGTGGCAGATGCTAGCCGGTAACTTCTCCAGGGCCATTGCGATGGCTGCTAGCTCTGCTGTATATGGGTTCTGCTCTTGTCCCAAGAACAACAGCATAGTTTGTCACAGTCTCGCTAGTTCTGTTGAAGAGAGTATCCCGTGCAAGGCCGCCCATGCCAACAATGCCCTTCTTTACGGATGAGCTGGTTGCGATCACGATTCCCGAGATTTTGTTGACCATCTCGGCCGCCTTCCCTCGATCGGCTTCGAGCGTCGGTCGTAGGCGAGGTACCCAGGGCGGGACGGCGTATTCCTGGATTGTCTCCATCCGGTCAACTCGTACTCCTTCGGCCACGCGGGCAATTTTCTGCAGCGGAGATACGAATCGTACGGTGGTCCGGACTTTCTTCATGGCAAGGGGATGCGTTCCGGGCAGCGTGTGGATGTTGATCCACAGACTTGCTGCCGCCTGGGCGTGTCGTTCTCGTACGGGGTAGATGCTCGCTTCAGCTTCCACCACGGCTGTTGCCGCGGTTCGAAAGGCTCCCGTGATGGCCAGGGCCCCGATCTTCTGCGCCCTGTTCAGCCAGCTCAGTGCTTTTTCCCCGCACGCATGCATCCAGACATTGGCAGCGTAGTCCATGACCGGGGCTACTGTCGCAACAAATAGCTGTCTCGCTGTCCGCGGGGAAAGCATCTTCAGCCTCTTCAGGGCCAGAGCGGCTGCGAGGCCCTTAGCTGCCGTCCTAGCAATGTGCTGCTTGTAGCGGAGTTCGCGATCCATCACGACACCTAGGATTTTCGCACTTTCCTTCGGTTTGACCACTTCGCCTTTGACCGAGAACGGTTGTTCTGAAAATCGCTCCATGTTCCTCGTGAAGTGTATGATGGCTGTCTTTTCGCCTTCAAACTGCGCACCGCTCCGTTTCTCCCAGTCAAGGGCTTTGTCGATGATAGCTTGGATTCCAGTGCGGTTCGACTCCGCTGACGGGCCCGTTACCCAGGCAGTGTAGTCGTCCACGAAGGCAATTGCGCCTCCGTTCGCGTCGATCTTGTGCTGCACTAGGTCGGCGTTGAAGAAGAGGAACAACACTGGAGACAGCGGCGATCCTTGCGGAAGACCCGCTTGGGGCAGCTCTTGCCGTCCAGATGTGAACCCGTTTACGGCAATGGTCGCTGTGCGCTTGGAGCAGAAGGCGTCGATCCACTTGACCAGGGGTTCAGGTATCCCTCTTGCCTTGAGCCTCTGGAGAAGCCTGTCTTTGAAGACCCCATTGTATGCGCCCTTGACATCGAAGCTGATCAAACTGAGCACCTTCCTAGCTCTCCATGCTTTGTAGATGTGTTCCTGAAGCAGAAGGAGAGCCTGTTCGGTCGAGCGTCTCTTCCTGGCTCCGAAGTGGTTGGCGGGTAGAAGGCCGCAGGTCTCCACAGCATGGGATAAACGCTCCGCAATGACTGCCTCCAGTATCTTACCCAGCGTGGAGAGCAGCGAGATGGGTCTCCAGGACTTGGCTAGAGTGTATTCGCTCTTCCCTGGCTTCTTCAATGGGATGATCTTGGCATTCCTCCACTGGCTGGGGATGTCGCCGTCTCGAAGCGACGTCCGGAATAAATGGAGCACCCTGTCTTTGACCACTGGCCAGAGCTGTCTCCATACCATTGCCGGTAGACCGTCTTCCCCGGGCGCCTTCCATGGCTTAGCGGACAGGACCTTTTGTTCTATCTCCTCCATTGTTAGGTCTGGCATGTGTACCGGCGCCCGTTGAGGTCGTTGGCCCTCGTCTTCGATTCTCGCTGACAAAGGTGGGAAGAAGGCGGTGAGTAACTCCTGCGCTTGTTCTGCTTTACCCTCCGTGATGGAGCCATCGGGTCGGACGAGCGGGGGTATCTTATCGCCCATCGTGCCGCTGCCGGTTTGCAGATACTTCGTTGCTTGCCAGATGTTAGCGTCATCGGGCCAGGAAGTCGTTCCAATGCGAACTCTTCTGTCTGCGGATGGCGTCGTGGTACTCTTTGGCTGCCATCCTGGCTCGTTGTTCGAGCTCTGGTGCTGTTTGCCCAATCCTACGTCGAGATCTCGCCTGGTTTCTCCAAAACGTGTATGTCTGGCGAAGCCGTGTCAGGTCCGTTGTCCACCACCGCTTGGCGTATGGTGAGGGTTTGGCTTTAGGTGTCAGGCCGTAGACCGCCTCGGTTACCGCTGCCATGAGCCTGTCCGTCTGCTGCTGGACATTGCCGTCCCAGGGGATGCGTTCGAGGTTTGCTGCCACCCTAGTCCTAATTTCCGCCCAGGGCGCGTTCTTGAAGAGGAACCTCGTCTCACTGGGACGGTCCTCCACCGTGGTGTCAAAAGCTGTCTCGATTGCTCTGTGGTCTGAGCCATGGTCGCAGGGGTGAATCGTGCATCTGAGTAGTTGGTCTGCTAGTTCTGCAGAGGCCAGTACCAGGTCGATTGTGCTCTCAATGTCGCCTGACTGCCACGTCTTCGTGCCTCTTGGGAGGAGGCTGCAGAGGGAGTGTTCGTCCATGAGGTTGATGATGCGGTCTCCCTCGCCTTGTCTCCGTGGTGAGACATCGTCCCCTCCCCAAAGCTGGTCGTGGCGGTTGAAATCGCCCGCCAGGATGATATCCGTTCTCGTCCCTGTTCCGTTTCGAAACCTCCTAATCAGTCGGTCAATTTCCCTCATTGCATCTTCCAGTGCTTCGTCACTACCACCCTCCACATACACTGACACCATCAGCACTGCCCGATCTGGGAGCCGAATGCGTGCTGCGGTGAGGTCTGCCGACGGCACTGGAATCTGCTCGACCTCTATATCGCTTCGTACCCATAGCATGCTCCGAATTGGCCACGTGGTTTCTCGTCTTGTCGTTGGTATAAGCTTCGTCCAGTTGTGATGACTCATTGGGACCGTCGTCACCGAGCCTTCGATCAGCCTGGCATATGGTTCGGAGATGGCCAGCACTGCGAAGTCCTTGAGTCCCTCGTCGTTTAGCAGACTCTGCTGCACTTCTCTCCGTTTGCGGACGTTGAGCTGAAGGATCTTAAGCGTCTTGGGCCCCATTGTTCAACCAGCGTACCCGACAGTTCTTGCTAAATGACTCGTGTGGTCCTCTGCATAGCACGCACTTCAGGACCACGGACTGACACGTCTTGTGGTGGTGACCCTGTTCCGCACACCTTCCGCATCTTTGCGGCTTTTTGCAGGCGAAGGCCTTATGGCCGATCTCCTGGCATCTGTAGCACTGGATTGGGCCTTCCCGGGGCGCGAAAACGGTCGTGTAAGCGGATTCTCCGGCGAGATGGAAGTAACGCCCGTCTAGAAGTCGCCTTGCTTCGCTGCCCTTCGTCACGTAGACAACCATCGAGCCGTAGGCCTTGCTTGTATCCTTCCTGCTGAGCCAGGCAATCTTCGCAATGTTGACGTCGTTCTCTGTCCCTAGCGCCTCTGCGGCTCCCGGCAGGATGTTTCCGTCCGCATCGAGGACCGCTGTTCGGTTGGCATTGTCTACCCTCACCGGGTACAACTGGTCTCTCAATACCCGCACTCCAGGAACACTGATCTTCACTGCCGCTTCCTTGACGAGCTGGACTTCGCTTTCGTCTCTGCAGATTACTCTGACTCGGTCCGGGGTTCGGGCCTCCTTCACAACCGCAGCGCAACGCCAGTCTCCCATGCTTTCCTGTGCCCTGGCCTCTGTCTCGATTGCCTTTCTAATGTCCGCCACCTGGACGTTTCCCTTCTCTTTCTCCTCCACCCTAGATGTATCGATCGTACAGAACAACGTGTCGGTAAAGGATGAAGGCGTCGTGTTTCGCGAGGAGAGGGTGCGCACACCGCTTGGCTGGCTTGATGGTGGGGTGCGAGCGACTTCGGCGTATGACCCTCTTGCGCTTGGTTGGGACGAAGCCATGGCTACCGGGTGGCGTTGAAGGGTATCAATCTGATCCCGCGCTTGTCTCAGTTCTTCAGAAAGCTGGGTCCTGGTGTCTGCAAGTTGGCGATGTAGTTCTTGAATCGCGTCGTGCTGCTTGCAAATCACCTCGCGTAGTTCGCCAATCGTGTTTCGCTGCTCGGTAATCATTCGGTACATTTCGTCTCGTTGTTCGTTGATCGCCTCCAGGAGCATCTGTATACCTGACTTCCCCGTCTCGATCCGGCTGTTGGCTCCATATAAAATCCCAGACGCGCGTGCTCCTCGCGTCGTAACCGCCCGCGTGGTCTCGCTCGCCGCTTTCCTCGACGTGGTAGCCACGTCCTCGAGCGATTGCATGGCTTCGCGAGCTTTCGCGCTCGGTTTCAACGCGCGGCTCGGTCGTCTCGGCGAAGGTGGTTGGTCGGCCACCTCGACCACGATTTGGGGCTGCGCCTCCGCCGCCATCTTGCAGTCCCTCGGCAGTGCCGCCCGACTTTCACAAAAGCTTCCTGGTCTCGATCGCCTCTCGCCGATGAACCTCTCCCTTATTTTTCGAATGCTCGTTCGTCTTTTCTAGTATCACCACTCTGTCGGTGATAATCGCCCATTATCACTGACAACCAGTGATAATCGTCCATTATCACTGACAACTAGTGATAACTAATCCAGTTCTTATTGGTCCTTAAGCGATTGGCTGCCGGCGTCCTGCGCTGTCGGCTGTGGCCGCCCTGGCCGCCTCGGGGTCATTCCGTGACAACGGAGCCGACAACGTCCCGGCATGCAGCGACGAGGGGGCGGCGCGGGCGCTGGGCTGCTTTCTGAACTGTTTTAGTGCGGGGTTTTGTAGCGCCAGTTGTGAGGCGGCGGGTGGGGAGTGTAAGTGTGGGTGTGAGGATGGGAGTGGCAAGGGGGAGGTCCCGTGCGCGAAGAAGAGCTGTTGATTGCGTTGGAGTGTTGTTTGATGTTGTTTGTGTTTTGGAATGGGAGGGAGCTGGGTGGGATTGAACGTTGGGGGCTGGACCGAACTGGACTGCGTAAAGAGGCACTGGGTGCCGGGCTTAAGGGAAGTGGAAGTAGCGAAGTGGGTTGAAGACTTGCCTGCTAGGGTTCTTCTCGGATCACTTTAGGGAGCTCTAGCCTCTAGGGCAAAGTGACGTTTCGTTTCTTTCAGACACCATGTTCTGAGGCCAGAGCTGCAACTTCAATGTTTCTGAGCTTAATATGAATTGTTGATGGAGGACTCAATACATTTATATTTTCCCTATTAGTCCTTACCCTTTTCCGGTGTACAAACAAGGCATTCTTCCTTTCCCTGCCTTCCCCTGGGCTCGGTCAACGGGGTTTCCAACACCGAAGTGGCCGACAGCCCGATCTGATTAGGTACTCATCCAGCCGCCAACGATCAAGAACTCTAGAAGGGATAACCCGGATATGAACAAGATCTGCCCTTGCTTCTGAATCAGGCTCGAGTTAGGACCAGAAATGATCAGTAAACATTCCAAGCAAAGATATTCCCACAACAAACCCCCCCGTTTCCTAGTTGCGTCGACATCTTGCGCAACACTGGAAAGCAGGAGTCTTTAGAATTTCGAGACGCAATATAAATTCGCAGACCTGTCGCAACTTATACACCGATAGTGTCATCTCGGACTCATTCTTCAGATCTTTGCACAGCCACCATGTCGTCCACTCCCAGTTCCACCGCCACCAATCACTTCAACAAGAGTGCCGAAAACTACGAGGCTAGCACTAGCGGAGGCACCCGCGAACTCGCGCAGCATGCCATCTCCCTCATCGCGGGCCTGAAGCCCCTGACGTCCGAGTCTACAGTCCTCGACAACGCATGTGGCACCGGCATCGTGACCGATATCATCCTCCAGTCCGGCATCCGGCCCGAGATCCACGCCGTCGACGCCGCGGAGAACATGGTCAGCATCGCCAGGGGCCGCTTCTCGGGCTCCCACCCCAACGCCCACGCGGCCGTCATGCCCGGCGAAAAACTCTCGTTCCCGGACAACACCTTCACCCACTCCATCACCAACCTCGGGCTCATGTTCTTAAGCGACGCCGACCAGGGCGCACGCGAGATCGCGCGCACGCTCCGCCCGGACGGCATGGCCGTCGTCACGGGCTGGACGGTGCGGGCGCCCTTCACGGTCATGCGGGAGGTGCAGGCGCGGGTGCGCCCGCACGATCCGCCGTTCCAGCCGCCCGTCGCCCGTCGCCGACGTTTGGCTCGACCCGGAGCATACCAGGGCGGTGCTGTCGGGGGCCGGGCTCGACGTGCACGCCAGCGCGGCGCTAGACGTGCACATGGGCGCCGAGACGGCTGAGGCGACCGCTGATCTCCTAACGCGGTTCAGCTCCAGGGCGTTTGCGGCTTGGAGCGAGGAGGATAAGGAGAAGGTGCCGGGGGTGATGGAGCAGATTGTGCGGGAGCTGGCCGTTCCGTTTACCAGGGCCTCGGGCTCGGGCGTCGGTATTAAGCTGACGGGGACGATCTTTGTTGTGCGTAGGCGTTCTGGGCGCGCCGTATGACGGGTTGTCCCGTAAGGGTCAGGGGCAACTTGGCTGTGATTACATGGACTGGTCCCAGTGTCACACGGATCACCACGTGGACGCAACCATCATCAATCGTTTTTTTTAGAGATCAATGGCCACTCATCGGAAGATGGGAATTCACACGGCCGAGCCTAGGAGGCTATGAGACTCTGCCAATTGTCCTTGTCCTCCTCTTCCCTCTGTAAGTAGGGTTCCAACCCCGTGATATCTCTCTCTGAGCAGCGAGGGTGGCGCCGCATGCAACCGCACCTGGCCTAAGCCGAGTGATCTCTCCGGCCTAGACCAACCGATATCTTGCCACGTTCTGGGCCTTGACCCTCATGTGCTCGGACCTCTTGGTCTACCTTCCAACACGTCATCTTCTCATCGAGACCCTTCATGTATGAAAGACTCAGAATGTCAGATAGCTCCAGAACTTCTCTTTCTCTCTTTATGGACTTCTCGAGGCCATTGAAGATTATTCTTATTAATACATTTGGTTTTGCCGGTTCCCCCGGCAGCTGATTGTTCAAGCCCTGGAATACCAGCCCTTGTAACACCCAGGCTTGAGTCTTGTGTGCGCAAAGTTCGATTGCAGAATCTGAACCTGAGCTTCATGGTACAGGTAACTGGACGGCGGTCTGAACGCAGGACTAGGGGGGCCAAATGTAGAATAGTGTACGAAGATGTAAGAGTATGTAGGTAGTAATGTATGTGTCGGAACATCTACGCCAGAGTTACGTCCTCGCAGGGGGACGTGACGGAGGGCAGGGGGGGGTCCACCACTGGGGCAGTCGTCACGTGGTCCTGGACCTCGGGGACGACAACCCCGGCTGCAAAATCTGAGCCCCCCTCATTTCTAGATAGAAGAACATGATCCAATTGAACCACGAATGTAGCACGTCCCTCCAGCACGAGAAAGGGATTTGCCCTGTGCTTCTAACGCTATCGCGATACCTGGTATTCCCTACAGTATGAATACCAGTGATTCTCCTCTTCAATGTTCTGCTCCATTTTCATGGCGCCGGAGTTATCATGGCGGTTATCTGCGGCTTGGGTCCCCTGCATAAGTAGGTTGGCTTGATGCCCCCGACAGAAGTCGGAATTCCATTCCAAAACTTTGACGAATACTCGGCACATCCCGGTTCAATCCCATAACCCCCCCGGCGGTGATTATGAAGATTTATCACAACACCCCGGTCGAAGCAACTAACGAAAATTGAGACTGGAAGGCTAAGCATTATTTTATGAGGAGGTTAAGGGGTAGCGGATGGGGTAGATATCCCATGATCGCAAGTGTTCTTCTTTGCCCTGTCTGCATCCCCGCAGATCTCACCACCTATTGATCCCCATTCCCCAACGGACCTCGGTATCTTCTCCGCACCCGCAACGGATCATGCGGGGGAGCTTGGCAAGGCCCCGGACCGAACCACTTACAAGTACTGTACCCACTCCCACATGCCATTCATTTATCCACAGCCTCACTTACACTCACAAACCTTCTCCACCATATCTACCTTTAGGTACCTTACCTAGGTGAACCATAACTACCTACCTGCGTAGTTAACGACAACCCCATTCTAACCACAACTCCCTTCCCAACTCCAATCCCACAACAATCATCCCCCTCCCCGTGCACCCACCCACCCACCATGTCCTCCCCAACCCCCACCTCCGCCCCCATCCCCTTCTCCGAACCCCCCTACCTCCTCAACCTGCCCACCCCCTACTTCACCCCCTCCCACCTAGCCTGGCAGCGCGCCATCCGCCCCTTCCTGCAAACCCACCTGCACACCCACGCCATCGCCCACGAAACCGCCGGCACCCTGCCCCCCGCCACCTTCACCGCCTTCGCCCGCGCCGGCATGCTGCTCCCGGCCCTGCCCGCCCCGCTCCCCGTGTCCTGGCTGCACCGCCTCGGCATTCGGACGCTGTTGGGGGGGCTGCCCGTGGAGGAGTTTGACGCGCTGCATGGGTATATTTATGCGGATGAGATGGTAAGGAGCGGGTTGGCGGGGCCGGGGGCGAGCTTGACGACGGGGATGGCGTTTGGCGTGCCGTTGGTGTTGCGGTTTGCGCGGGAGGCGGTTAAGGAGAGGGTGCTGCCGGGGTTGTTGAGGGGGGAGACGAGGTGCTGTATTGCGATTACGGAGCCGGGGGCGGGGAGTGATGTTGCGGGGGTGGAGACGAGGGCGGTGAGGAGTGCGTGTGGGAGGTGGTGGGTTGTGGATGGGGAGAAGAAGTGGTAGGTTAAGTGTGTTTTTCTTGTTTGTTTAAGTTTGGTTTGGGGGCGAGTAGTTGGAAGGAGAGGAGACACTGATGCTTGGGATGGAGACGCTGACACCAGACAGGATCACCAACGGAATCTGGTCCGACTACGCGACCATGGCGGTGCGCACCGGCCCGCCCGGCAGCGGCGCCAAGGGGATCTCCCTCCTCCTCGTCCCCCTCAAAAACACACCCGGCGTAAAGATGCGGCGCCTCTCCGTCTCGGGCACGGCCTCCTCCGGCACGACCTATATCTCCCTCGAGGACGTGCGCGTGCCCATCGACCACCTCCTCGGCGAGGAGAACCAGGGCATGCGCTACATCATGACCAACTTCAACCACGAGCGCCTGGTCGTGGCCACGGGCGCGACGCGCCAGGCTCGTGTCGCGCTGACGGCCGCGTTCGAGTACGTCCTCAAGCGCGAGGCCTTCGGCAAGCCGCTGGTTGAGCAGCCCGTCGTGCGCCACCGGCTGGCCAAGGCGGGGGCCCTGCTCGAGAGCCAGACGGCGTGGGTCGAGCAGTTTGCCTACATGATGACCAAGATGCCGCATGAGCAGGCTGGTGTGCTGCTGGGTGGGCCCACGGCGCTGTTGAAGGCGCATGCTGGTATGGTGTTTAAAGAGTGCGCGGACACAGCGGTGTTGCTGTTCGGGGGCAATGGATACACCAAGACCGGGCAGGGCCAGCTGGTGGAGAGTGGGTTTTCCTATCTGTCTGCCGCGTTGTTTACATGCACGTGTAGATACTGACGATGCCGTCGCAGTGCTGTACCGGGAAGTTATGGGCACGAGGATTCCCGGCGGGTCCGAGGATGTCTTGCTCGACTTGGCAGTGCGGCAGCTAGTGAAGATCTACAGGATGCATACCAAGATGCTGGAGGCAGACTCGAAGCTGTGATTAGGGGTATGGGTGACGACGAGTGACGATGGGTGATGCTGGGTAACGATGGGTGACGATGGAGTAATTATGGGGGGGCAGAGAGTGTATGATTTGGAACATCGGCGCTAGCCTCTTGGATATGGCCGATCATGTATTGGGGATGTTGAGTGTAATGGAAAAGCAATCCGGCCAGCCGCGGAATTCCTGAATTATCAATGTGGAGGATCCAGTCACAGATACCTGCAGGCTGTAACATAAACCCGGGCAACAAACACTGGCTACCGGTGGTGGTATTTGATGGTTGAAACGTAGTGTGGTGTTACCGTGGAGAGAATAAGCCGTTATTCCCTCAATATAAAGTAAGTGACAAACGGCGAGACTGGGGGTTTAACAACCACAAATAACACTCCTGGGCTAATCCCCTTAAAGCCCAGGCTGACACCCCCCCTCCCCATCGACGGGACCCTCAAACACCGGCAACCCCTCCACAAACACCTCCCACGCCCCATCCGACACAATCGGCGCCGTCACATACTCCCCCCAACCCCAACCTCTCCCCCGCCGCCACCCGCCTCCAGCATATCCGGCAACGCCCCATCATACGCCTCCACCAACGCATCCTCCAACCTCCCCCCCACCACCCACCGCGGCTCCCTCTCCAAACACAACAACTCAAACAGCCGCACCGCCGACACGCACACCCCGGCCTCCTGAGCCGCTTCGTACGCCATCCGGTGCCCGATAGCTTCTACCAGTGGCCGGCACCGCGGCAGAATGTGTCGATTGAACGCCTCCCTCGCGGTGGTGGCCGTAGCCGCCTAGCTCGGCGATTTTGTCATGCGCGGCGGTGGTGAGGGATTGTTCGCGCTGGGCGAGGGGGGTGGAGTGGTTGTGGGGGGGCGGGAGGGTGTATTTGGAGGCGAGGAGTTCGGAGGCGAGGCCTGCGAATGACGCGAGGGAAAGGGGGTTAGTTTGATGGTTGGGGTTTGGTGGCAGGTGAGGGGTGCCCAATATAGAAAAAGGGGTGAGAGGGGTGGGATTGGGTTTGGGTGGAGAGACGTACGGATGCACAAGACGAGGGTGTCGCCCTCGGCGATGGAAGCACCCTGGAAGCTGAGCGTG